GTGATCAGCAAGGTATATTTCCAAACTGGAAGAAGTGAGGTCTCTTTACACACTGGGATCCTCGTCAACCAGTGTCCAAGTTAAACAGGTTACCACTTGGCTATTTAAACTGCTCCTGTGGGATTGACTGGATTCTATGCATTTATTGGCCACTGAACAGTAACCAATTTCATATCGTCTTATCCTAAGCTTTGACTATATTTTATCAATTATTTTATAATGTTTTGAAATAAATAATTAATGAGAATAAATGATTTGCCAGACAAAAACAATACAATTTTAGAAAACAGTTATATGATTTCAAACAATGTAGAGAATTATGGGAAAACAATGAAAGTTCTATGCAAAATAATAATGACCATGATAGACTGAATAGTTTGTGAGAAATGAATTCTTACTAGCTGAGCAATATTTGTCGACATCTTAAGGCAGATTAACCCTTAGATTTGTCAGCCATTTGATGAGATCGGTCAATTTTTACTAGCCAGTTTGTAAAGACCTACCATGAATAATATAATTTAAGAAGTTAAGCTATATCCTCCAGTATTCTGAACACTGATGTAATGAACTAGTGTGAAATGTAATGAATTTTGAAACATTTCTAGCTAGCAAGTAAGTTTGGTATAAATTTGCCAAACTAACTACCTTTACTTGGCATTCAAATACCTTAAAAGCTAGGGAATATTATTATTTATAACGGACTATAATTAAATGAAAAGAACACCTTTGAATTCTAATCTGTATAATCACCAAGCATTGAAAAGGAGTAGCAGAATTTGTAGGCTGACATAAGAAATTCCACAAAACATAGTAAACAGTATCCATTTAAAAAATTGAAACATACCTAATCTTATGCAGTTTGGCTACAATTTGTATAGATCTTTAGTTAACTTAAAGCAATAATAACAGGCTATATGGCTTTCTGAAATTAGTTAACTTACTCTGGTGAAATCGGACACATTGGCCGTACTATACACCAACTTACGAAACATGCTTGTTAGCATCATCCAACCTTGTCGGTTAAGGAACAAAAAAACTGCATCCTTAGCCTTAGACACTTTGAACCCCCTGTGATGTATCCTTCGAAAATTCGCATAAAGGTTTACCAGGCAATCAGGGTGGAGCAGGAAAACAGCATCTGAGAACACCTGAAGCATTTTCAAATCAAAGGTTAAAGCCATCATAGTGATTTCAATCTCTTTTTTGCGATTATCATCATGATGAAGTGATTATTCTATGCAATTCCCTGATGACCCAATCAACCAAAACCATTGATCATTGATCAGTTCAGTCGCTGGATCTTGTAACTTAGTTGGTAGAGCAACAAGTCGATAATCTGTAGGCCATCGATTTGAATCCCGCCGCTATCCGGGTTTTTATTTCACCTTCAATCATCACGTAAATTTTTTTTCTGTATATTCGCGAATGTAAACCCAAGAGAATGAGTTCACCGAGAATATTTTATCTTCAATGTGATCGTCTCCTTAATCCACGAAATTCCTGTTGATCACTCTTGTATTGTTCCACTTGTCCACTGATTACATGAAGGATATGATGTCATCTTTTTTTTCCGCATGCGATTAAGTTTCCTCTAGTTAATACATAGACATAGCACAGCTGCATCGCTTGTCAACTCTTTGTCATATGTGTCATTTAACACTGGATTGGTGTAGCTTGGAAGTAGGTTTAAAACGTTTCTCAGAAGAATTATATTAGCCAGCACTGGCAGCTTATGTTACGAGACCATTAACAGTCTGATTCATATAAAAGGATAACTGCGATATGGAAGGGCAGTGTACAACCAAACAAACACAGTAGAGTATTACACAGGCGATTACTCTGTGCTTATGTGATTGATTATCGGCAAGCTTTCCTTTTACAGTAATCATCAGTTTCATCAGTCAATCAAAAGAAAACTCTGCCTACCATAGTTTTCATGCTTTTTGGCACTCACTAACAAATATCTAGAACCAAGTGCTAGGCTGATGAGCCATATATATGTCACTTGGTATTGAAGTCGGATGCTTTGCCACCAAACTACTTAGGTCACGAATAATACACTGCATAAGTGGGTTGTTTACATCAGTTTATCTTCAATCCATAATCGATGGAATCCAATAATCCTTGTTTCTAAGCTATTATCAAAAACTTTCAGGAGTTGGGTACTTAGACTTTGGAATACGTTTATAGAAACAGAACTCCTGAAAAACGTTCTAGCAAGATACCATATGAGAACAAGACTAAATGACAAACAGAGCATGGTCATTTAGTGGAATCAAAATACAAAGACAATTAATATGTATTTCAAATATGTACTATGTTTACACTGACAATTGTGTACATACACTATAGGCAGCCGAATGTACCACTCATTTCTTCCCGGATTTTCAATATGCCAACTGATAATATCAATGAAAAAAGGTTTACTACAAGGGCACTTCAATTCGTTATTTATTGTAACCTCTTTTGGGGGGGGTTTTCACCTGAATAATGAAGTATTTATTCTGAGTCATAGTAACTTCTTCATACGATCACTTGACGAGCTCAAATTTGCTAAACCACAAAAAGTGTAATTCATTGCTGACTCACCATTTTGTGATATATTCACTGCGCGAAATAATTACTAGAGTGTTACAATCTACTTGTTCTCTGACTTGATTTTTTTGGTTCGTGAACGTTTCATTATCGTGTCAGATATCATCAACTGATAGTTTCTACCTGTATAAAAGATATGTGGATGACACATTCATCATAAGTGATCAAAATACAGAAATTGGAAGTGTATTTGAAAAAGTTCACTGATTGTCACCCATCGATCAACTTCACATCAGAATTTGAAGAGAACCCAGAATTCCATTTTCTTGATATCTTATTGAAACGGATACTAGATGGTTCTCTTCAGATATCAGTCTATAGAAAGCATATATGGAATGGACAATATTTGAATTTCCGTAGCTGGGTGCCTCTTTACAGAAAAAGGAATCTAATCCATTTTTTGCCTTGAAGAATCAGAAGAATCTGCACGACTGATGCTATCGACCATGAGTTAGACAAACTACGGAAGATCCTGTCGCAAAATGGATACCCTTCCTGACTTAGTGAGAAGAGGTTGAAAATAAAACAATACTCACAGTTCCTAAGAAGATCTTGTTTATGAACGTTGGTTTCAAATGCGATACGGTAGCAGAGATCCTGAAGAATCGGCTGTCCAGTTCACTGAAAAAGATATTCTTCTCTGTGAAACTACAGATCAGCTCCTCTAGTCAGCAATTGGTTCCAGAGTGCGTTAATGACAAGTTGCAGCTTTAGGCCACGTCAATGTGTGCCTACAAATTTACTTGCTCCTGTGGAGCTAGTTATATAAGCGACGCAAAGCGCACACTTTTCAAACGTATCTCTGAGCACTATCCTGTATGGTCGTCGACGGGAGAATGTAAATCAATTAACAGTTCAATTCTTGAATATTTTTGTCAACTTTGGACGTAACGCTCGACCGAAATCCTCCTTCAGTGTCATTTATGGATTCGAAGGCAATAGGTCAAAAGGAGGACACCTTCGATAGTTGTACATACCGGAGGCACTGGCAGTTCATCAATTCAAGCCTGATCTCTGTGTGCAAAAGAAGTATGTTCAATCTTTTATTCTACCTTGGTCTTAACAGTTCCACATTTTCGGATTTCATTATGATTAGTAAGTTTATTATTATCACCATTATAACCCCTGCCTCATTCTTCACCTTCTTTAAATCTGTCTACCAAGTGGAAACTCAATATTCACCTTGTTAAACTCTTTGCCTTCCTCGATATTTCTACTGCCTAAAAAATTATTGCGCAACTACTTTCCATTCTTAACTCCGGTTTTTTAGAACTAGATTAATGATGTACTCTGATAGACTGTTATGTTTATGACATATATAAATACGGTTGTACAGCTTTAAAAGAAGGATATCATCGAAAAAGAAATTTTTATAAAGCTGAATTGTCTCTTCTTTCTCTATGACTCAATAGGCATGTTTCGTCGTACCAAATAACGTCATCAAGAGGAAAGCTCTGACGCTGATGACATCTAATTGGACATTGAAATATTCACCAACTATAATCACATCTGAGTAAACAAATTAATTCTGGGTTACCAAAATTATTTACTATTACCGAGCCTACGCTCGTTACTGAAGCTCAGATGGCCAGAAAGAAGAAGCAACAAGAAACTCACTGTGGCTGACTGATTGACTGACTGACTGGCTGGCTAGCTGGCAACGAACCAACCAACCAACCAACAGCCTATCACTCAACAAATATGCAGTGGAAGGAATTGGAGATGGATTGGACTGGACTGGTCATACACTGAGAAGACCATTCAGGGACATCACACGATAGGCCAGGCACTCGAGTAGAACTCAGAGGGGAAATGACGAGTTGGACATCCGAGGTGATGGTGACATGTAGGAGATTGTGTGAGGAAGAAATGAGAGTTTGTGGGTAGTCGTGGAGCCAGGTTGGAATGAGTGCAGAGAAGGGAGTGCAGTGGAGGTGTTCTACTGAATCCCTTGTTTCACTAAGAACCCAAAGGACATATAATAATAATAACGATAATAATAATAATAATAATATACTATCAAGAGTTAAAAATGTTTTAGTTCGTTCTTCATTCATCAAGACCAATACATCTACCGGCTTATCAGAAAATTAGTAGAATGAAGCGTGATCTTTGGAATCAGTACAGTAATAAAGACAAATATCGCTGAATGCATCTCAGGAATATTCTCTGTATATAAGATGTCTGTTGAAAGGGAAATAGACAGAGGACCAGAGCAAGAATTGAGCCAGTTTTCTTCTCCAGATATAAAAAGGTCCCCTGTATTCGCCTTCTTTTCTTCACCATCGTTTGATAAATTATTCTGTCAGCTTTATCAAAGTCTACCGAAAATAAACTTTTCTAAATACTAACAATATAAGTGGAAAGATGAAAAATATCTTAAAGAAAATAATGTGAAATTTTATTCATTTTAAACGAAATGAAATTTTAATGTTTGAAGTACTCGCAGAACAGTATGGTAGTGCAATACGGTGATACATTGTGTACCTGATGACTAATCCACTGAGATAATCTATCTGGACGGGATCCACAGGCAGTTCAATATCATTATGATATTTCTTTGGTAAAGTATTAAGTACTACTGAACTCAGTGGAAAGTAGTGTATAACATGACCAATTGAATTTCTTGATGTACATACTTCAATAATAAACAATAAGGGAATGTGAACATATTTAAATTGTACATGAACAACGACTCCTTTTGAAGATAAATTATAGCCTAATTGACTCGAATACAATGAGAAAGCAATTAAATGTCTCTTCCTCATTGGTCCACTGAAACAACAGTCTATCCATTAAGATTATCTTGACCATGCTACAATTTAGATCTTAAACTGAAGATTTTTAAAAAAATATTCTACTTGAGGGACCACTAACTTAAAATATTGATTTCTGTTATCTTAAATAAAACTCTGGTTGGTATATTTTAAATCCTGTTACTATTCATCTCGTACTTAGTGTTACCATAAATTTTGAAGTAAAAAAAGCCTTTACTTCCTATGCATTCAGCGTATCAAAACCGTATAAGGATTCATTTGTAAAAGATGTCACCATTGTTCTGTGAGCATTTTGAAAGGTGAGGTAATTGAATGCCAAGAGAGAGAGGAGGAGGAGGAGGAAGGAGACAGAGGGAATTATTTTATATTTTAGTTGGTTGATGATTTCTTGACACCCGACTGCTCACATTTGTAGACAGTATGTTTCTAAAGTCTATCTGAGCAACTGAAAAGAGGATTACAGTTTAGGTGGAAATAATTCATTATCTCACAAACCCGATTGACATTTCAATTGTTCTGTTTTCCCGTGGGTGATAAATCAATACAAGAGTGAAACGATGTTTCTTTACGTGTGTCTATGAGCAAAATAATCCGGGGAAATGCTGAATTTCAACAGTCCACAAGTTAAAAGAGATTTCACCCGTATAACTAGTGTCACGGAATGTATCCACACACACACACACACACACACACACACACACACACACACACACACACAGGGGGAACAAGAGCTGAAAGCATAGTTCGCAAGATTGTCTATTAAAGAGAAAGTTGGATGAAATCAGATAGACTTTTGCTGGATTACTCTCACTATTGTCATAGTTACAGAGATGATCTTGTATTCTGCTTTAATTCTATCTAACAGCTGCATAAATTTGTGTAAACTTGACTCGAACTTAATAAAACTGTATCTTTATATAATCATCAGCATGGTGATTTACTGTTTTCTGTATTTTGTTATTTTGTTATGGACATTTCATCACCAGTCTTGGTGACGTACTTGAAACTAACTGGCTGCCTAGTCAGAACTGGTCATACTAATCCAAATCTAACTGTTTGAGATAAGAAGTTCTGATTAGGCGGCCAGTGTGAATACAATCAAGCGGGAGTAACACGTCACCAGTTCACATGGTAGTCACGTTTCATTGAAGTGAAATAAAAATCTGGTCAACCGTTAGACCTCGTAGCTAGCTCAGTTGGTAGAGTATCGGACCAGAAACCCGATGGTAGCTGGTCCGAATCGGGCCACTATCCAAATTTTCATTTTTCACCTCCAGTCATCACCTAATATCAATAATATTCTACCAAACCACAGCAGTCTCAGATGATCGAAATGATAATTAATATGATGTTTCCTATTTCTAATTCAGTTAGATTTAGATTACGATGGGAATTCTGTTTGTCCCTGTCATTTTTGTATCATCATTGATTTCTAACGTCAGTTTCCCCTTGATTGATGGATGACTGTTTTCTTCCTAGGTAGATTGAAGACTGAATCCATATTCACATGTGTGTTGATCGGCTTTTCGTTTGAATGTTATGCTTTTAGGAATCCTATTACAGATTTTGAAATTGCGCTTTGCGGAGTTTCTACATTTTCCCAGTCGAATATATGCTAGTCATTATCTATGTTCCCAGAAACGAAGCAGGCTGCATCATCTCGCTTTCCTGGCAGTTGATTATCATGAACTCTTCAAGCAATCTGATGGCCAAACGAGTAATTGAAGTGTTGTGGAAAATCTTTGGAGCTGATTTTGTAGACCACATTTATCCTGTTATAATGATATATGTAATTCCCCGCTGCTATACGGGGCCGAATCTCCCGACCTCTGTTGGCAGATAAGCTCCTATGAGGATACCGTGATGTTATATTGATCTTGGTGACTAACAGAGGAATCCAGGACACGCGTTTTATCCTACTCAGGAGTCGTCAGCTGGATATACCTGCACCGTGGTACTGAGTGATACTGTCCTCACCGGAGCTTGGACCCAGTACCCCTCGCTTCAAACGCCAGAGCGTTATTCACTAAGTCACTGCTGCGATATGAAGTAAAGATGCTCGTTTGGTTACTCAAATAAACAAGCCGCACAACCACGTTGAAGTAATAGCTATCAATCCGGCGGTGACAGCGTAGTTGTTGATGAATGACTCAATTTCATGAAGTACATTGTCTTTAAACACATTCAAAAAAAACTTATAAATCCTTCATGAATTAGTCAAATTTCTCTTCACAATATGAATTCCTGTTTGTATTTGAGCTGCAGATCAACAGATTGTATGAAATAAATCAACAGACCGAATTGTCACACCTCAAGATACAAAGCACTAAGATGAAAAATAAATAAATTATTGGGAAAAGGTGTTGTTGAAATCCATAGAAGGTGATAAGAAGCAAGACAGAAAGGGATAAAATAGTTTGGAAATGATATACTATCATTTGGATGAAGATAATTTGTGTGTGGCTGCATACGCGTCTTTAACTGTAACCATCGATCTCGGTTTTCATGTTGATCCATACCTTTAGTGGTTTAAACCAACAGAGTCGGGAAATTCTCGATGAAGTCAAATTCATCTGACAAGTTGGTTAAAACTCTTTATTCCCATCATTATTATTATTACTATTTATCCCTTGGATTCCTAGTGAAACATAGGGATTCAGTAGAACACCTCCACTGCACTCCCTTCTCTGCACTCATTCCAACCTGGCTCCACGACTACCCACAAACTCTCATTTCTTCCTCACACAATCTCCTACATGTCACCATCACCTCGGATGTCCAACTCGTCATTTCCCCTCTGAGTTCCACTCGAGTGCCTGGCCTGTCGTGTGATGTCCCCGAATGGTCTTCTCAGTGTATGACCAGTCCAGTCCAATCCATCTACACTTCCTTCTTCTGCATATTTGTCGAGTGATAGGCTTTTGGTTGGTTGGTTCGTTGCCAGCCAGCCAGCCAGCCAGCCAGCCAGCCAGCCAGCCAGCCAGCCAGCCAGCCAGCCAGCCAGCCAGCCAGCCACAGTGAGTTCCTTGTTGCTTACTGTTATTATTCTGGTCATCTGATGTTCAGTAGCGATCCAGCGTAGGCAGTTGTTGATGAATATCTGTAGTTAGTTGGAAATGCTTTTCGTAACGCGCCAAGTCCCATTACAGATTATTAAAAACAGCTATCAATTGAGTGAAAATGAATTTTCGACTTTAGAATTCTATCCCTTAAAGTTTCATGATTTTGTGATCTCAACTAGTTAATTATTATCTGACCAATAAAATTATTTATTTATAACAGAGTATATTAGGAATCTCTAAGACTAGCGTTGGTGCATGAACTATAAGGTTAAAATGTATACCTGCATGTAGTAAAAAACAGTGATTAAACAAAGCGACTCCTTAATTCAAACTATATATTTCTTGAAATGATTGTTTTGATGAATAGAAGTTTATACTCTTTGATGTACTGTCACAGCCTTTTGTTTTCATCTTCTTTCTCCTCCTTCTTCCTCGATGCGAAGTTAAAATGTCTGTACTACTTTAGTCTATTTGATGGCTAGAAGTGGAATCCAAAGCATGCATTTCGTTCTGTTTGGGACTCCTCAGCTGTATGTAGCTGCACCCCAGTAAGTGATACTGTTTCTACTCAGATACGCATTCTGGTTTTCACCACTGGCCATCAAATGAACTACAATATAATGAATATCCAGACGAGGCTTCCGCATAGCAGTCTATCTGCTAACAGAGGTCGAGCAATCTGACTCAGTATTGCAGAGGGAAATCACAAGTATCAATAAATAAGTTTCTATTACCTTTACTTCATGTCATGAGTTCGTATTAAGAAGAGGTGTAGTTCCTGGAGGAGATCGGCTCCCACTACATGAGCGCCTTTGATGCTCTTGAGAACTTCATGATAGCCACTCCCTCAGTATGCTCATGATTTTCGTCTGGGTGACTGAAGCAGATTATTGACTCTCCAGTTAATAGTTCAGAAAATTCCCCCTTCTAGCATTTCACTTTGGAAAACTGAACAAGTTTAGTGATAGTTAACTTCAATTAACAAATTACATCAATGCCACTGAGGTTGATTCTAAGTCATATTCCCTAATGTCTCCAAACTCCGATTTCATTTGTCACTAGGACCCTAACTGAGAAGTCTACATTCCCCTAGACGTGTCACACCAACTTCATGAACCGATACTACGTTTCAATCTGGTCATCTCTAACCTTTATTCACCCTAAACCTACCTTCACAAATATTCAACAACAATGCAAGTCGTAACTAAGCATACACATTACATGTTCTAACCACCTGCATCATTGAGGGTCTACAACCTCATCAACTGTCTTTCCTCTTCTATCCAAAAACTCAACACCTAACTACTGATGTGATTGCTCCACAACTCGAAGGCAGCATTTGACTCCATCAATCGACAGGCCGCATCGAAGTCTTTTATTGAAAAGGTTGCTGGCTAAACATTTCACTAAACTGAAGGCTTTGTATTCCAACTCCAGTGAGAGAAGCAAAGCCTTTCATGAGGTATCAGGTGAGTTATGTACGCCAACTGGCTGCCGTTAAGGATGTCTTTTATCTTCATTCGTTATTTATGTAAGTGTACACTTTGAGCTCGGTGGTAGGATGTAATTCCATATTAGATTTGCTTATTTGATATATAGAGCACAATGATACAGTATTATTCACTGAATGACGTTTCCAGTATAAATTATCACTACTCATAATTGTATCAATGTAATCATATTCCCTACGATATTTGATTTTTATAGTCTTCCCACCCATATTATTTCTGTTTATCGGTAATAAAATTTTCTATATCACTGGTATAGATGTTGCTTCATTCCCATTACATCTGTTGGTTATTGACTCGATGAGCAAAGATACAACAATCAATCTCTATCATTCTCTCCACCTAACTATATCAGACTTAAGTACAGTGGTTTTATTTCACCCATCTTATTGTGTGGTTATGTGTTGATGCATGCATTGCAATAGCCGAGTTATCTTCTAGATTACTGATCTTATTAAGGCATGTCATTCTGTATTTAGCTAAAGTTCTACGTTCTTATTCAATTTTCTCACAGGTATGTTTAAGTTTGCCATTTTCGTCAAATTTGTGCTGACAGTAATTTTTGTGCAATTTTAACGCTTCCTCTGTTTTCAATGGATAAAGTCATCATGAAACATGTAGTCTGAAATTCATTGTTCAAGCTTCAAGATATCAAATTCTGTCAGTCACCTAGCAACATGAGCACCAGGCTAGGCAGCTCAACATAGCGATGAAAATTGACACATTTTACCTGTATGGAGCCAGTCAGTGGGAAGCCCTGGAACTAGCTTTCGTGCTTATTGGTACTTATCAGCAAGGCGTGTCTGTAACCCCAAAGGAAATGATGTGCTTCCTGAGATTCATACGTGCGTCACTAAAACATTGGGTGATGCGGGTACAAATCTCAGGTGGCACATCAGTTCCGTCGGGGTTGTAAATAGGCCTTGCTGACGAGTGCCAACAATGTACGAATCCTAGGTTCAGGGCTTTCTGTAAATTGCCTCCGTCCAACTAATATATATATCAACGATTCACGTTATGTATCTTGAGACTGATGGGGATTTTATTTTTCAGCCGTGACGTACGAGGTCAACCTGCTGGAAGTTAAGTGAATACCAACTGAAGAACGTACTGGATACTTGCACCATAAAGCGAATTAATAGAAGTAGGAAGCTTTGGACCATAAAACACCGATGCAGTTTCTCAATAGTCGATGCGTTCGCCATGAGATCAAAAGGTCATAAGTTCGATCCCTAGGTAGGTACTTGACGAATAATTCACATTGCATCATATGTCAACAAAATATCATGTTTAAGAGTTTAACCCTATGATACTCTATTAAAAACAAGTAGTTATTCAACTATTTCGTCTCCTCATCATATTAACCAATCAGTGCCTAATTAACAAGACAAAACAGGATAGTACCTAATGAAAACCGGATATTCAACAGTAATTATTAATGGAAGAGAGAACAACAAACATTAAGGAATGAATTAAATTCACTTCGAGTGCTTTAAATCTTCCAAATACGCGTACTCATTTTAAAATAAGCTATCATTATTGAGTATAAGTCATTTGATACAGCTCAATAGTAAAATTAATACTAAGTCGGTTTTTTTAGGATGATATATAAGACTATAAAATCGATTAGTAAAGCCAAAGAGAATAATTCCTCATCAGAATGGTTTATGAGTGTGATTACAGTTCAAGGTGAGCTCAAAATCAATTTATTTGAAAGCATAGAATGATAGTTCATTCATCAAAAAAGCACAGCACTCATCAGAGTCTCACTCAAACATATTGAATAGTTATGAATTTTATACGCTTATCAGTTTATTCAGGTTACTTGCAAGTACAATAGTGCCTATCAACTTCCTACATGAAAAGCTGTTTCACTGATGATGCAGTTGAAGGTAAATGATACAATTCAGTTTGAAGAGAATGTGAGAATTTATTGGTTTCAAGTTGGCATTCATCATGAAGTAACATCAGTTAAAGAATAGCTGTTTCGTCGTAGGTTTGGACTCCTCAGTAGTATACACCCATGACCCAATCTCGGATCAAAACTAAGACCATATTTTTGCATCAACCATTTCCTTATTGAGCTAATGGATGAGAATAAAATGCGCTGTGTTTTCCTACCTCTTTCAACCCTCAATACAGTTTGACCTTCATCCAATGCTATCGTTAATTATTTCTACTCACGTTCGGTTTGTTTTGCCTCGTTGCTCATGTGAGGATATGAGGACAAACACTTAGTGATGGTGTTGGATGACGGTTATACTAAATCGCATATTGACGAAAGTAGAAAATTTTGAACCAGTCTAGGGATCAACCCCCAGTGGGGTTATTGGTGCGCATTGCTGGGAAGTCTCACAATAGGAGGCAACAACCTTCTAGTGCTCTCGGGTTTCTACTGGTTCTCTAAATGATATCAGTCTACTTGTTTAGGTTACCCAGACATATTCACAAAAAACTACGCCTTGAAGACAATAAATGTATTTAAATTTCAGGCTGATATTTATCAAAGACTGGCACCAGTTAAATAACTACTGAACACTTTGGAGCACTGAACAGCTGTTCCAGCCGAGTTAAGGATTCCTTAGCAGTGCACACCCACGACCCCGCCAGGGGTACAACCAAGGACCCTCGAGTCTGGAGGCCAGCTTGTTGCCACTGAACCACTGCGTCGGAATCCACTGGTTTACATTTCCTACTTGTGTTAGCGACTGACTACCTAGTGTGTTCACCATCCTGAAATCCATCCATGAAGAGTTCATGGTTGTACACCGCTGAGGGATCTCATAGCTGGACGGAACAACGTTTTAGTCCTCCCAAGTTTGCAATGGTTATCTTAGTGATGTCAGTCAGTGGTGAATATCAATTTGAAATAAATAAATATATCTCTACAAACCTACGAAATGAGTATATAAATTTATTAGACTGGATAAATGAACAGCTGATTGGTTAATATTTTCTGTGCAAAAATGTGGTTTTTATCACTGGTAATTTATGAACAAATTTCTGCCAGAAATGTATCTCAATCTTATAAATCAGAAACAATCTCTAAGCTTCCATGAATTTAGAATGGTAATATGAAATAGATTATGATTACATTGTACGTATTACCATTATTATTTTTTCCTTGGGTTCCTAGTGAAACATAGGGATTCAGTAGAACACCTCCACTGCACTCCCTTCTCTGCACTCATTCCAACCTGGCTCCACGACTACCCACAAACTCTCATTTCCTCCTCACACAATCTCCTACATGTCACCATCACCTCGGATGTCCAACTCGTCATTTCCCCTCTGAGTTCTACTCGAGTGCCTGGCCTGTCGTGTGATGTCCCCGAATGGTCTTCTCAGTGTATGACCAGTCCAGTCCAATCCATCTACACTTCCTTCTTCTGCATATTTGTCGAGTGATAGGCTTTTGGTTGGTTGGTTCGTTGCCAGCCAGCCAGCCAGCCAGCCAGCCACAGTGAGTTCCTTGTTGCTTACTGTTATTATTCTGGTCATCTGATGTTCAGTAGCGATCCAGCGTAGGCAGTTGTTGATGAATATCTGTAGTTAGTTGGAAATGCTTTTCTTAAAGCGCCAAGTCTCTGAACCATGTGGAAGCACTGACTTGACGTTGGTGTGTAAAATCCGGAGCTTTTTCTTTGTGCTGAGTGCAGAAGATCTCTACATTGGTTTCATTTAAGTCAAGGCCTATCTTGCTTTTCTGATCCTGGTTTTGACATCCTCATATGCGCTTGTGCCACCTGTAGTTGAAACAATACTGCCTAGATGGGTGGAAGTGACTACTTCCTCTAGGTTTCTCGCGTTAATGTTGACTGGTGCTTGTTGTTGTTGTCACATTGTACTACAATTTCATTTTCTTCAGATTTGAATGTCCATTCTTTGAATTCAAAGTAGAATAAATCTTTAATTGTTTGTTTCAATGGAGCTTTAATAGTCAAGACAGATATATAGAGTGATTGTAGGTTATTGCTTTGATAAATTTCACAATTAGTCCTAATGGAGTTGAGTGTCTGCCTATATATTTAATAATGTAAACATTTAAAAGGTGTATAAAATATTAGTTTCAGTCTGAATTCAATGCATTTACCGACTATGAATTTCCAGTGTTGAAATAGTCTATTGGTTTCAAATAGTCTATTTGTGTTAGTTTTCATTTGACAATGTTCAATAGATCTCTTCTTCCCGCCAATAAGTGAGAATTTTCCTTCAGATAGATACCAATTAGCCTTCTTCCCATAATGTGTCCTGATGTATAGAAATTCTTAGGATATCATACATATCATACTTGTCTATAGGACCAAGAGGCGTATAGGAAGAAAATACATACCATCATTTTGCTGATTTCAATTGGTCAATTATTTCAACCAATCAAATTAATGATGCAGTTTTAATCCTAAATTAACTTACTTCACAAATCAGGTTAACTTTTCATTCATTTTATTGTCTTTCCTCATCTCATTTTACAGTATTATGATGTAATATTAACTTTCGTCAACCAAAAACAAATATGTGATAAATTATCTGTCATGATAATTATTGAAAATAAATGGACTAATCATTTGGAAAATTAATAATTTTTACCAATCAGTTATAATGACTGTTGTCATTTGGGAAGTTGAATTCCTGTTGAACGTTTATGGACTGTATGAAGAAGACAGACGGATTTATTTGAAATCATTTGAATGACGTAACCGTTCTGAATAGACAGTAAGTTGAATTGAAATTTATGTTGTAATATATTTATGGATACTATTTGATAGAGCTGGAGATTTCTAAAAGAACTGAACATCTTCCCAGCTAGGACGGTAGCTTTTTTATCGCATACAATTATTCTTCTCTTCAGGCATTTAACTGGTATGCTGAACTAAGGTTTACATTGTCAGCTGTATCGTATTTTCACGAGTGAATGGATACAGTGTCCTAATTTCAGGAGAAAATTTAGCAGTACATTTCATGTACTTATAGTGAATAAATAGGATGAGTTTTCAGTCAACTTGTTGGATTCCAATAACTGAATAGTTAGAAACTATTCATTCTAAGATATATTTCCTTTTTATTTACACTACATAGTGAAACATTATTACTTACTGATGAAGTTTCATCCAGAATCGATTGTTTATAATTGCATGAAGCTAATCACAAATTTTTCCAGGTCTTTTTTTGATTTGATTGGTAGTAAACTTTTCCTAATATCCGGAATTGATATTGGATTATTTGTGTTACGTGTGTCATATATCGATTCGATAAACAAAGCTTCAGTAATCAACCTCTCTTCCCACCGATCCAATTGTATGATTCCTTATGACAACACGTGTCGCTATAACTGAACTCTCTTCCAGATTCCTTATCTTGTTGGAGTTTACTACTCCATATTTAGCTAGGTTTCTATATCCTCCCTAACCTAACTGAATGCAGTCGGCTAGTTTGCTTAACTTATTGGAACATGCAATCATGGCATAGAAGTTGCCAAACAAAATTGTTTTTTTTTTCAATACGTTCGATCGAATCACTAAACTTGCAAAACTTGTCTCCAAGTTAGTTCCTACATCTTTTTACAAGATCAACTTATAGAAGTTTTCAAATCCTTGACTCACTTTGATATGATTATCCCCAATAAGTCCTGCTTAAAATGTCATCTGTAAATTATGCCCCTTCATGGCGTAATATATGTGAAGAGGGACTGCAAAGGAATTATACTCTGCCACACTGCCCAAGTCCTACACCTAATATTATAGAACAACCAACGTTGTCCATCGGTAAATTTTACTTGTTTATGACACTTTTGTGTTAGAGATAACACTTTGCAATCTTTGCTCACCAGATGGCTTCCAACAGAAGCCTAGTTGACACTACAATTGGAAGAAGACACTCAGCTGTGAGACATTTCAATGTAGACTGTAAAAGTCTGAAATAATTTACGAACTGATTATCTAGTATTTATGGTTTTATTTGCACAGAAACCAGCAAATTTATACATCTAATTGCTTAGATAACTTTGTTGGTTGCCTAAAGTGCAAAATTCAGTAGGTAGGCTGGGATTAAATTCCAAACTCCCAGTATATTTATAGCCTTGCATAGGGTTCTGTAGTTTTGATAACCTGAAATTCACCTTCCTACTTAAATTGGCCTACTTTACAGGATAGATTGCCCCTCCCTCCTGAATTTAGATTCTCCTCTTCACTTTTCTTAGGGGCTGAAAGGGGGAGTTGTTAGACAAGATTAGGTTAACTTTACTTGATGAAAATTATCAATCGTTTCATTGTTCTAGCCCTACTCTAAAGGCTGAGTTATATAACCCTATTACTTTAATCGGATCTGACTATTTACTTCAATCATAAGAATAAATTGATGTATTGGATTACTTCCTTTTCACCGTTATATTAGATACTTTGAAACTCCCCAAAATGTCATTACTCACTTGTTCTCCGTATTGGATTTCAATCCTTTCATACTATCAACTAAAAATAAATATTGTTTCCAACAGATTTTTATTCAAATGACGACAGTGGATTATATAAGTCATCCACAAAATATGAGCTGCAAATTATCGGTAATGCAGCTTTTATTTCAAAAAATTTTTGTTTTCAGCGGTTTAGTAGTGAGATCTAAGAAGTGTATGACGTTCTATTTTGAACTCATCAGCTAGATTTACTTGCTTCCCAATGATCTGTGCTTATCTGATTGAAATTCGAACCAAATACCAAGGCACTGTTTCCTAGGCTAATAAGTTAAGACAACTACTACCTGTGAGACTACTGTAGTTTTCATGGCATAGCTTGTAATTTGCTTTCATTGAGTCAGTAAAGTTATAATTTTACTCACTCTTAACATCTCAATTTATCAGGAATAAATGGTTTATTGTACCATACTACTGGATTTCCTTCAACCATACTTAAACTCCACAGGTGTAGTAGTAATGGTAGTAGTAGCACGAGTACCAGCCGTGTGAGTATTGGTGGTAGTGATAGTAGTAGTAGTAGTAGTAGTAGTAGTAGTAGTAGTAGTAGTAGTAGTAGTAGTAGTAGTAGTACGATGTCTAGCCTAGTCGGAAGAACAGAGCTCATATTATATCGTTCAAAACGTTTTCTTTTCCGCCTCTCTAGACAATTCCTTCGCCAGTGTCCCGGTTTCTCGCATGCGAAGCATTTACTCTGTTTGTTGATGCTCATTCGCAGTGCTGCTATCAATTTCTGAAGGTTGTCGATTTGTTCTTGCCAGTTACTTACCTCTGGTGACTCCGCTGCCGCTAATCTTGTACCCATTAGCTGTCTGGTCACCTTGGCCATTTCGCTAATGTCAATGGGCTAGGCTGCATTGACTAGTCGTAACTGGTGGGCAGTGGCATTCGTACACTCTCAGCGAACTGTGTGGTCAGCAGCTGTCGTTGGGCATCCTCATCCAACGTGGGAAGCCCCCGTCGAAGCAGTTTGGTCAACTACACAGCCAACACCAGCAAATCTTCATCTATTACCAGCTTCGCGCTGGGGAACTGCTGCATCGCCTGTCCCCCGAGCTGTCGAACTCCACCTCCAGGCGCCGAACCATTCTCCGCCAAGTCTCCTTCCCGTCACCACGTTCCACTCCGTCATATAGCTGCTTTCGCCCTACCCCGCAGCAAGGATCCCAGCACCACGACCTTCGACTCCGGACCCCAAACCCTCACCAGCTCCGCTACCGCCTAGAAGTCCTTGATGTCTCCATCGCCGAACTCTGCAGACAATGGGATCTTCATCACGTCCAAAAGCAGCGACACCAATGGAGAAACAGAACAGAGCTAAACGAATGCTTTTTTTAAGAACAATTGGAATGGTAGTGGTTACATATGGTACTCCTTGCACTAACGCAGCCATTTACAAGTGTCTTCGTTTACTCTCCGTTCCCGTCTCCACTTGCTCTTGACCGGCTCTTCATACACTTATCAGCCGCATCCCCTGTAATACGCCTGTGTTGTCCCCTGCGTTGCTCTTGGCAGAAACATTACCCATTGCCGGTAACTCCCTATGATTCCTGCCACCCTCTCCATATATACTACTTATATCCGTTGTTATCAGCAACGCCCACTACAGTAGCAGTAGTAGTAGTAGTAGTGGTAATGTGAGTAGTAGTAGTGGTAGTGTGAGTAGTAGTAGTAGCAGTAGTGGTAATAATAACGATGAGAATAGTAGAAGGGTATATATTTTCTCCATTCCTAAGACTGATGTATACATCCCCTAATATCATGTGATTCCAACTTCCTTGCTCATCCTCTTCCACTGTAGAATCTTCCATATTCGTTTCTTGACGTTATCGATTATTATTTTTGTTATTATTTGGCCTTCGGGTTCCTAGTGGAACATAAAACTTCAGTAGCACATCACCATTTCACTCTGTTCTATGAAGTCTTTTCAACCTAGCTCCATCACTACCTACAAGCTTTCATCTCTTTCCCACATGATCTCCTCTATGTTACCCTCAGTTGGGATGCCCAACTTGTCGTTTCCTATTTAAGTTCCACTCAACGGCCTGACTTGGTGTATGACATCCCTGAATGGTCTTCTCAGTATATGTCCAATCCATCTCCACTTTCTTCTTCCGTATACTTGTTGGGTGATGGGTTTTTGATTTGATGGTTGCCAGCCAGAGTTTCTTGTTGCTTATTCTTATTATTCTCGCCATCTTATCTTCATAATCGAGAGTAGGCAGGTGTTGATGTTTTTCGTGGAGCACCAAATATTTCAACCATCACATAGAAGCACTGACTTGATAATCCGGATTTTTATTCACGCTTTTTGTTCAGTGTAGTAGATCTTCACATTTATTTGAGACTGATGAAAACCTGTCTTGATTTTCCGACCCTGGCTTTGCATTACACATCCAGAAGTGACTAATTCTATTTTGACTACAATTTAGATTATTTTTAGCTTCATTAACCATCTGTAAATTAATAAGCCTGAATACATTAGATGTCAAAATTCACTTCATGAGCATAAAGTTCAGAATTCATGATAAACTCGGTTGTTGTCTGTTTTGGTCTGGTTCTTATTGAAAGGGGAATAAAATTGAAAAGGAAACCAGTTTGATGGAGGTACTGGTACCAACTAGTGTAGCTGAGTAACGGTTAAAAACTCAAAGTACTGTTCACTTGTACGGGTTTATTGAAATAATGAAGACTTCTGTCTCCCATTGACTTATTCAATCCAATCATTCCTCTCTCCAAGTTTTATCTTTCGGTATTGGCTTAGAGATGAGATTGCAGTGTTCCAACTCCTCCTTATTTTACCTTTTATACTGAACTCGGCTTAATATGGCTTTCTTCGCTTTCAAAACTCTTACCTGTGAAACTTTTAGTTAGTTGAAGCCGACCTCCGTGGTATGTGTTCCTCGTACAGCTCATTTGGCCGGATGGTTTGTTGTATTTCAGTGTTTCTTCTGTGATGTCCTTGTTAACAGCTGGTTTTCATTCTCATCTCTTTGTGAATTCACTCTACATTTTTTTCATGTGCTATTCACAACGCTGTAACTCTTCTAACTATATGTTCAAAACCTCTTTCTTAATGCAGTTAGCTTCTTCTCCACTTAGTACTTGAAGGTTATTTCAAAAATGCTTGGAATGGATTTCCTGTTCCGTCTCACCTCTTCAGGTCTAACCTATGTTTATTTATCAACTAAATAGATGACATTTACTTTTCCATGGAACTGCAGAACTCTTACATCCTTGAAACAAACAG